AAGTGTGCATGTGTGCAAGGCCGCACGTGCATTACATGCAATAAACACCGTAATGGACAACCTTGTCGATGTCAGTGGTGAAATCGACATATTTGTAAGTAGTAATTAGAAGGTTAAATGATACATACTCGTGCACGTGGAATGCGAGATAGGCTTAATGGCAGAGTTCTGTAATGGATCTAAAAGTCAAACTATGTACCAATGCACCAATATCTCCTGTGTACGTTCGTGAAGATCATTATTACATGTAGGGTAATAAAGCAAGCATAATCGTCAGTCAATTGACACGATAATTGCAAATTTATCTGATAGATTTGTCGAGAATCTAGGAATAAGATGCCTATAAAATGGCACTTGACACGCGATGAAAGAACAGCGATATTAACGTTGCGTGTAATACTTACAATACAATATGTAACATGAATAAAAAGAAAAACTGATTTCATAGCCAGTAACCTTAGTCGTTTACCTAACTTAATCTTCTCTGGTTTTTATATTCATATTATTCAAACTTTGAACATAGATGACAAATAATGAAAGATAATGATACAAAGAGAAGAGGCAGTGGTTATGTAACTGTACCAATGTAAATAAGTAGCTAGTATTTAAAACAAACAACATATCTGATGTCAAACGTATACTAGTATATTTCATTGACGAGTGCGTCAAACGTTATTACATAAAATATTATTTTTGTTGCAACTTTGTTGTTTTTGAATATCCAGTTGCTATGCTTTAGTCTGAGTGTCACATCAAATATGCATTTTCTTAGAATTTCTACTGAAATAATGTATTAGAGTGTTCTGCTATATGCTCGAATTATTACATAGATTTAAAGAAGGAAATTTACACTAACTGTTTTGCCAATAATCCAACTTCTTTTGCCGCAACATGGCAACCAATTTCAATAGTCCTTGCGAATTAAGTTACGGTAAAATTCAATGATTATTCCTAATCCCAAACAGAAGCAAATAATTATAACGATACAAACTTATCTTTAAGCTTCGTCCTTAAGAGGTAATGTATTACACAGTGTCAATGTTTCAAGAAACACTGATATCTTTATTGGGACGAAATCCGATGATGTTTGACACAAAGTACGCATTTTGAAATACCCTAAAAGTCTGCGTGTTACCGACAATAGAACTTCAGCACTGTATTCCCATGGGGGCGCACCGACAAGGAATAAAAAAGATCTAAAGAAAACATATAAAGAGGTATAAAAAAATAGAGAAGAATGCAGTAAATCTGAACACGCAGTTGTTGAGGATTTCCAATCGTTCTCCCCCGTATTCGCAGCCAGTGTTTTTGAGTTACCCCCTCCTTCTGAAATTCTTCGAGGGGGGTCGTCTTCGCACCAATGAATTGCTGGTAATTATCACCAAATCTGTGAAAATCGTAAGCAGGACTGAGTACCTCACTCTGCCCCTTGTGTCACTCTTGATTCAAAGGGCGTGAAGATGGTTCTTCTCGGCCAATCAGAGGGCTCGTTGCAAAGCCACGTTTGTCAAAGTTCGGTACACATGCGAACAATTGTGTGGAATAAAGCATATTCATAGGAGATCTGATGTATGCCGTGTAGGGGTCAGTGAATAGGAGATATGCCCGCCACACACTTCAAGTGAGCAATTAAGCACGGTTTTGTTCCAAAAGGGTTTACCGTTGGTATTCTTCACACTACGAACGTTATTCGAACAGAGGTAAGTTGAACGATTCTTTTGATTTCATGTTGTGTTTATCACGAAGAAAAGTGATTGATTTGGAATTTTACCCATTAGATATAAGATATTATTGAGGTACACATACACTGCAAAGGTAATTCAGTAAAAGTGGTTAAAATTACAATAACAGGAATTAAAAGAACGCATTGTACAAGAGATTGATCTGATTGATTTAGCCTCGCCCCTCAGACATTCAACCTACCAAGAAATGACGCCACGATACATGTCACAATTACAATAATTTTACAAATTGATTTTTTGTAAGTTTGACCTATGTTTTAAAAGCCACAGTCCGGGAAATACATATGTACTGTCCACTGCCTGTATACAGGATATATACGGGATATGATAAAGAATAAATTCAATAAAATATATATCACGTAACCTGAATAATTCAAGTTTATTTACCGAGTGTTTAACCATAATTCCATCTTCAGAGCAAATCCAAAGTCATTATTCAAACAATCAAGATATTGGCATATGGATTTTGTTTGTATTATTCAAATACAGAGGAAATAGGTCAATAGATAAATTAGTGGAGTAAATTGGGTGCCGTTTAAATTTACAAAGTGGCTAACCTGAAATATACTATTCGTGTTTTCCTATGGGAAACGCCAACTCAGTTCGATTATAATCTCGCCGCCATATGTCAAGATTTAGCCCTCGACTAGACAAAAAAACATTTCTAAGTAGTATATTTGTAAATATTTGTGTTAGTACGCTTACCACGCTCCTGTTAAACACAGTTTTTAGAAAGTTGATATGATTCTCATTTTGTGTGAAAGCCACTGTCACTGCTGTGAAGCTGTGCGGATTAATAAATATTCACAAAGATCAAACAGTTAGACCTATTTCGTCTCAAAACAGACATATTATTGAAACATAGACAAGAAATCCATTAAACTTTTTATCATTTTAAACAATGATGCTTACCTTTAAACCTTTCCTTAATGTCTTGCAAGAATGTCAGTTAAGATATTTATTTATGCTTTATTATGAAGTACGCTCCAATACCAACATGTGCCATGCAGTACATTTTCGCGACTTAAACTCCTTTTGAAATGATGTACGCTTTGATTTCCTTCTGTAACAGTTAAGAAAACTCTCAATGTAATCATTGGTATGTTAAGTTTGTAGTAGGCTTCTTCATATCCACCCTGCTCTGGACGTTGCTCCCTGCATAGATTATTTTCACAAATAAAAACCTTTTTGTTCAACCAATACCTATGGATTTGTTTATAAAAGAAAACGTACCTTTAATGATTTTATCACTTTTTCATAGTGATTCATAAACAAGTGTATATGGTATGGTCGGATCCATGTAGATTTATTTTAATAATAGAAAGTGTTTTATTTATATTACGCTGTATTAATTATGATATATAATAGTTCAACTTTCCTCACCACGACTTAAAGTAAATTATAATCATATACTAGCAGTGATGTTAATTATTAGTAAAATAATGACAACATACCATAATTTACACTTTCTTCCTTCAGGTATGATATTGAAGAGCTAAAACCATATCGTTAACATTCATGCTTTTTTTTAACATACTGTATTTCTTCATATTATATATAAAGTTCATGATGGAGGTGATAAATGAGATGACCGAATGCTGACATTTAGGATTGGTAAATTTCATCGACATCTATCTTTTGATCTTTGTCATCATGTGAGACTTTCTCTCATATATTACCAGTTCAAAGTCAACACTATCTCATAAAGTGTTAGATTCATCGCCGGGAAAGACATAACATTATAACTACAAACTATTGAGCTTGACACAAAGAGACTCAAAGTCTAATAGCATGGATCCATGAATTTGTGACTGTACACCTCGATATGCGATTTGTGTTATGCCCCCCTCAACCCCCCTCCCCCGTACCTCACACACACACACACACACACACACACACACACACACACACACACACACATACATGTATATATACTTAATATATATTAAGAATTTGGAAAGTGTTAAAGGTGATCGGGTATACTATGTGAAGACTCTTTAACAAAGTATTGGTGATATGTTTTCAACTGAAACTGCACCAACTGCAAATAGCTTCGTGGATTTTTGGACACCCCTCTTTCATGAGTATTCTTACCTAAGGTTCTGCTTGTCAGAAGCACCCTTTTCCAAACTGTTGTATCAACGCATTTATCATATAAATCAATGTCATTAACACCATATTTGTATGCTATTTATCAGTGTCGGTCGTTATTATTCATATAAAACTATTAACATTAAATAGTTGGAAAACAAACATCACTAGATAATATTTTCTACAAAACAAAACGTAAGTTTCCGATATGCCCCTAACGAGTAATCGATTCGGAGGTGTGTCTGACAGACACTATCTTGCATTGCTCATCGGAAATAAACGTGTAATTTACACTAAATATTTAAAAAAATAATTCATTAGGACATTAAAAATCACATTGACGGCCTCGTGTGAAGTATGGATAAACGTGGAAGCCACAAGCATCAAATATGTAGCATGGACGATGTAGTGTATTTATCCAACCAAAGAAATATTTGTTTATGATATGATTTCAGAGAATCGATTATGTAGCTACTACACCGCATATCAATGTTTATAATGCTTACCTATGTTTTATCTACCACCCAATTACCTATTAAAACTGTAGGATTAAAATGTATGTAGATACTAATATTACAAATATAATAATTAAAATGCATAACTAATACAAACAATAGACTCTATGCAATCCAATATGTTCTGTGTAAAATAATGAAAATTAAAATGTCATGATTATTAAATCGACATGGCAAAATGTATCACAGGGACCATGCTCTTATTATCTACTTTATTTACACGTATTAAATTAAGTAAATTTACAGGTACACAGTTACTATAATAACACCACAGCAAGCCAAATGTCAGGCACCACGACTCAAAGATTCGGAGAGTTTCCTCAGTGCAGTCTATTACTTCCACTGGCAAACATGTGCCGAACAGCCTTCTATGCAACTTAATAATTTTAGTATTTTCCATTATCTGACCTTTTTATAAAGATATTAAGCACACTTGAGAAAATACATTGACACTGCCATGGCGTCGGCACAACGAAGAAAAAGTAATAGTTCTGACGGCTCGATTTCAACATGGTGGCATCTTTAAGCAAGCTTTGTTTACCTAAGGAAAAGCTTAGCGCCAAATATACGTATTCAGTTTCCATTTGAAAACTTTTGAATGTCTATAGTGTACAGTAGTGCTGAGAGATAGGCCAAGTGAGATAGAGGTTTCATCTTCTACAAGCAAGGATGTTTGAACAGAAGAACGATGAACTTCCTGAGATCGAGGGACGGGGCGAGGAAAATGTCGGCTAACAAGCTGCATTGTCTCGATACAAAAGTCATCTAAAATATGAGAGGTATGAGACAGTGGATCGACTTTTTTTTAAATGCGAGGAAGATATCCGTATCTTCTTAACCACGCCGAGTCTTTTCCTTCGAGGCTAAGCAAGAAGCTAAGGATTATATTATTCATATACAAGGTATGTCACTGTGCATGTGTCTTATATGATAAGTTATATCTATATAAAAATATTCCTAGCTATATTTATGAGTCCAATAATATTGTTTTAAAAATGTTATAGGAGGAGATTAATATAAATTATATTAAATGGTTTATGAGTATTCTCTATGCTATATTCACAGAGGGTATAAATAAGTCTGATAAAAACTTAGTAGGGCGTTTTGTTAACTAAGTTATTCCAGAGCTTTTATAACGTTAAAAATGAACTTTATCTCCTTGTATATACACCTTCAATATATTTAACAACAAAAGACAGAAATATTAAGAATTGCAACATTTTAATCATATATTTGAAGGTATATCTATGACTCCCAAATTCTAACTGCCTATCAAAGACTTTATATAAATGAGTTGAATGAGTTGAGATCATATGTACGATTTTGTAATGGTAGTCCATGTTATATCTGCGTATGTCTCGTCCACACTGACGATGTTAGTTATCGACGTGCGTACACACAGAACAAAGGTCTTTCCATGAGAAGTGTGACGACAAGTGATGATGTATAATGCTATTGGTATTACGAATTACAAATACCATGTCAAGTAGATCAACATATATATTCTGGAACTGCAATACGTGTCATCTCTTATACACTCGGAGCAACGACGGAGATGGCATGTTTGCAATTCACAAAATTCAGGTTCAAAATGCAAAGTACAAAACGTTATTGTTTTTATTATAATTTATATTATGCTCCACAGCTATTACACATCATCTCCTCGCGAATCCCAACCGTATTATCCCGACAGAAACACAAGAGGAAGACATGATGAATATGAATTTCCATATTTTGTGATAAAAGCACTTCATATTTAGAGAATCTGCAATGGTTAGCAGTATAAAGTCAAACGTCTACTTAAGGTGCAAATTAATCAATTCACAAATGGAAAAAAAATAAGGCAATGATTAAATTCAATTACCTTCCATGAGGAAACAACGGAAGACCAATGAGGCCACCAGGTGTTCAAAATGAACACCCGGGTCACTTTTTTGTGTGACGTCTATATCAAGTAAAAAACATTTACCATTGAAACTCTACTGCCATCAGTACAAACGCAAATGTATTAAAAGTATTGGTCATCGATTATAGTGAAGCCTTGTTAATCCGTAAAGCAGTCGTCCGGATTAAAGAAACCATGGGTTGGGACTATTATTACTATACAAGTGTCCCATTAACAGGATCCGTACTACAGAGGTATTGTTATAAACAGATGTTAGTCAGGACACATAACTCTTGACGATCCGAGAATGTACCCACATGTAGTAGATGGCTCCCCGGTTGTGACAGCATTCCTAAAATAAAGAGAACAGTTTAATCACAGACCATGAAACAAGCATGTATTATGATTATTATCGTAAAATTTTTCAAATACCTCAATTGTCAGATACCCAACAAACAGGAGAGGATTTACGCCGCTTGTTTGTTTTAGGCTCAACAATTGTCTTCTGTTTTGAATTATCATTCAGCCCCCATAAAATAGTTTCCCGTCTTTGATGAAAAAGATGCATCGTGTATTATGATAATTTGACGAAGCACGTGTCTTATCCAAACCGAATCGTCTAAACATTCTTATAAAAAGCATGTGTTTGTTAACATTTTGCTGCAAAACAACCTCGTTATGTCATAATTTATGGTCGATTACTAGACACAGGAGGTATTTTGAACGCTATAACACATGTCTATGTCGTGAGTCTGTAACACGGGTCTCAATAAGATAAATAAAGAAAGTATGAACTGTGATATCGCTATGTGCATTTTCTATACTTGATTGAGGGTTTATTTTATGTATAGTGAAGCCGAATATATTTATACAAAGGCACCAATTGTCTATGTACAAGTTATTTTTATAGTTCCGTCGAAACATTACAAGATGGTTTCAGTCTTATGTGCCGATAAGGGGAACGCTACACAACAATGGTGATGTTTGAACCGACGTGAAACTATTTTAAATATGCGCACTACCGTTCAAAACAAACGTCTTCTCGTCTTCTCGTTTATTTGAACAGTAGTGTATATCATGTACATTTCTTATAATCACAACATGTTTATGGACACGTAGGTGTTATTTTGGATATTGATATTTACTGAGTGGGATGCGAGTATGGGTAAACCTTTCTAGGAAAATAGCTGGAATTTTGCACGCCGATCGCCATCGAATTTGGAGCAGTTATCGTGTGTATTTTATCAGGTAATCCATCTTGTTTGTACATTTGATGTACACAAATGACGTTTTTATATAGTACTGAACTTTTGATAAATTTCTGGGCCAATCTTACTTCTTAGGGGGTAAAAAAAGACGCTAATCTGATCGTGAAAACACTTGAAAAGTACGGTTCTACAGAAATAAATCGTTCACTCGACATGATCTAAAGAGTAATGTGATGTGTTATGGGACCAAAATATGATTGTTTGGTTGCTCTATTCAAAGAACAATATGTTTCGACCCCCTGCCCCCATTCACACACAATCACACACGTACGCGAGCTCACACAGAGAGACACAGAACGAGACACAGACAAACACACACACACACACACACACACACACACACACACACACACACACACACACACACACACACACACACACACACACACACACACACACACACACACACACACACACACGTCTCCCTATATTGTGTCAGTGTTGACCGATAACGATTGAATCATTAGTTAAGTGATTATACTTGAAATGAATGAAGATTCACTACACTGTTGGAGTAAACTAGCACTATACTCATGTCTGACCCCATGTGGTATTCTGTTCGCTATCATGAACTTCAAAATAAACACCGCGATGACTAATCACAAATACATTGAACTTTCACAAGTAATATTCAACAAAAGACAAAATTATAACAAAAAAGCAGAACAAATTCAAACCCAATAATTTATATTATTTATCATCAATTACGATTGATCATGCCTTTAGAATCTGTATGGGTTAATTTATCCATAGAATAGTTATTCGTTTATGATATTTTCTTTGCCTGTGCCCTGAGGAGTTGAACCAAAATTTCTCCGCTATTTCAGGTTGGTTATCACAAAGTTTATTTATGATTCCATTTAGGAATTTCGTCGACCATATAGAAGAACATGACCCTTTCCACCATTCATGTACTTGAATCTGAATCTTCATTCCTCTGTGTTGTTCAGGATCACCCTATCCCTTATAATGCATATAACAGTAACCTGCTTCTATCGTTATCGGTGCCGGTGGTCCCGTTCAACGGTTGGAACTTTCAAGATGTGGGTTTGCCCAAAAATAACCCCCTGGTGATCCCGGGTTAGAATGGCTCCCCAGCTACCTATGCAGGTCTTAAGTGGCGACTTAATGGTCAGACTCGGGGACTTGGCTGATTGTATGTCATCGTACACCGAGGGCGTGGATTGATCACGGGATTCTCTGGTCCAGACTCGATTATTTACGGCCGTCATATAGCTGGAATATTACTGAGTACGGTGTTAACCAACACACACACACACACACACACACACACACACACACACACACACACACACACACACACACACGCACGCACGCACGCACGCACGCACGCACGCACGCACGCATGCACACACACACACACACACACACACATAAGTAACTCAGAGCTCCATGAAAATTTTGGCACCTAAAATATATTTGATATCATAAATATCATTTTAATTTTAAGCATTGTAGCCAAAATGATATAATTTTTAAAGAACATACTGATTAAAGTTCATATCATCATGTAGATATGTTATGTTGATTTGTAAATTTAACAATAGCTGCTGACATATAATAATCTGTGTTGGTTACACATGCATATAAAACGTCAACGCCAGAGAATAATCAGCCTCGACTATCTGCCCAAACAAAACCCATTGGGTGTAAAAGGCAAAGCATTGGTGACCGGATTACTGAACATCGGTGATGAAACCAGGTGTTCGCAAAAGGCTAGCGCGTGTAATGGATCCTTGAACCTTCAATACCAGGAAACAAAGCGGCCAAATGTACATGAGGTTGCATGAATCCTTCCAAACCCAACAGAACACTATCCAAGACAATATTGTGGAACAGTGGATGGATACTTCCTATAGCCGGACTAATAAGGAACTCTACCAACCAAGAATCATTGAAATCTTTACCTGGCACAAATTAACATCAGCCAAGTTCTTCATAATGTTTATAGTAGTAACAATTCTCAGTCCCAAGTAATGCCAAACCTTTCCTCCAAACCCCTGTGAAACCTAGGGAACGCACATGCTATCCATTTAAAAGACTTCCCAATTCACAAATTCTCCAGGTTGCAATTTTCTCTGTACTGTATGAGGACTGTTTCCGTATGGGGTTTACCCGGGAGACGGTCCGCTCCCTGCTCTGTCTATGTGCTTGTGTCTGTGTACCTTTGCCTCAGGCTTGGGGAGGGTTGAGCTATACCACGTGCAGCAAAGCCTACACTTTCCCTCAGGGGTGGGGCCCAATCAGGTAGACTGTCTGCAAGTTCGCTAGGGATCAATATCGACTATCAACATAAACAAAGAACAGTTTAGAACACCCATAAGACACGGATTTGGTTAATTACATCAAGAGATTTACAACTATCGACATATAAGAACGAAACTGCTAAGGGCACTGGCCTCATGTTTAATGCTTTTTGGACAACTGGGATGAGCTCTTTGATGAGCGAGTTAGTGAGTGTGGATGTTAGTGGCTATTACCGTTTAGCCATGACATGAAATGGGGACGTCAAGAAGTGGATTCACGAACAGACACTCACACCACTCACAACGAGCAACTTCGACAGAGGGGTGATGACATGGTTACCCTCAAATACAAATTCCTCGAAATTACAGTAAACTACGGTTATAACGAATTTTAGTTCGTAATAACCGTAGTTCGTTATAAGAATAAACACAACATATCCACAACAAATGGCCGGGACAGAAACAGTTCGTTATACTCGCCAGTTCGTTATAAGCGTGGTCGTTATAAACGTACTTTACTATAATGGATAAATGAATGCATGAATAAAGTAAAATCAATATTTTTTAGTGAGATTGACTACAGCATGATGGTGATTCTTATGCTCTGCACATGAGCCTGCTTATTATTGTTCAACGTTGAAATCCGAGCACGGTCACCACCGATTCCATCGGGACTTGACCCAGTCTATATTCCAGTGCCCGTTGGTAATCATTAAGTAGTAATCCCCACCACCGATTGCAGTCTAAATGTTGAGAGAAATCTGATACGTAAAAGAAAAGGCTGGACAAAGTTTGAGCACGGTATCCCCCTGGTAGTGGCTATCACCTGTGTTCTGACGAGCCTCACCGTAGGGAACTAGAGCTCTTTCGGAACACAAGCCTTGGTCGAGACGCCAGGCAATTTCCGTCCTGCTCAGATGAAAGAGTTTTGAAGGTGACGCCGAACCCTGTCACTACGCTGTAAATGTCACATGCATGGTATTTGAAGGTTTGTAGTGCTTTTGAAAAATTGTTTTTGTTTTTATCCCGTTAAACTTTTATTACATGGGGTCGGACGTCATATTGAGTCTCACATATTGCGTCTTTATTCAGTTGCTAAGAATGATTGTCGCCGTTGTGAAATGAAAGGGAATTACTTTGATCGGGGAAACATCTTCGTGGGTGTTCTGGGGTAGAATGTGATCCATGAACCCCATGACTGTGACCCTGTGGGGGTCGTGGGGTAGAATGGTACCCCCTGCTTGACACCCCGTGGGAGATCTGCGACACCATTAGTCGTACCCAATGCTCTAGTCCAGCGGATGACCCATGGTGGTATAGCCCAATGTACCCCAAGTTTGTCACCCGTGGGGATTCCGGGGCATATGATGTATACACTTCATGCTTGTCGCAGGAGTCGACTTAAACCCGGATCATGTGTAAAACGTTTAACCTGAAATATTGTAACGTTGTGCCCTGAAGACATGGCAAGTTGTTCATGCTATCAACCACAAGTTAGTCTGGTTCGAATTCTATCTTTACAATAAATGTAGGCACCAAAGTACTGATGTTGCTTTAGCATTGAAAAACAACTATACATAATGGTTTAGGTTTTGTTTCAAATGATTGTTTCTGTAGTTAGACGGTATATTTAGTTTAACATATCCGATTCACGGTATTGAGCACATGTCACTGTCAGACACATCCTCTCATTTTGAAATTATTAATATTATGTAGTCGTTCCCTGTCGAATGGTTGATAGGATGTACAAAAGGATAACAAAATATATATTTGAAAGTCACCTGCATAAATGTCACCAGATGAAACCGATTAATATTACACTGTACCTATCGTACAGTCGACTCTGCTTTTGGCGGAGGTTTATCGTGGCTACAGAAAGGGTTTTGTCGCTTTTGTTACAGATCACCTTTTTAAGTGCAATATAACCAGGCCTTTTCCAACAAATATATATTTTAATTACTAGTTTGCTAATTGAAAAGTGTCTTCAATATCATCCGATAGTGTTGTGACTTTGTAGAATAGACACATGGAGGTGTTGTGACTTGGTAGAGTTGACACCTTGTAGTGATACCACTTGGTAGTGTTATCACGTGGTATTGTTGACACCTTGTAGTGATGTCATTTGGTAGCGATGACACCTGGTAGTGATGACACCTGGTAGTGATGCCATTTGGTAGCGATGACACCTGGTAGTGACGACACCTGGTAGTGATGACACCTGGTAGTGATGCCATTTGGTAGCGATGACACCAGGTAGTGACGACACCTGGTAGTGATGACACCTGGTAGTGATGCCATTTGGTAGCGATGACACCTGGTAGTGACGACACCTGGTAGTGATGACACCTGGTAGTGATGCCATTTGGTAGGGATGCCACTTGGTAGCATTATCACGTGGTATAGTTGACAACTTGTAGTGATACCACTTAGTAGCGATGCCACTTGGTAGTGTTATCACGTGGTATAGTTGACACCTTGTAGTGATGCCATTTGGTAGTGATGCCACTTGGTAGTGATGACACCTGGTAGTGATGACACCTGGTATATGTCACGTGGAAGCAGTTGTGTAGAATGTTCAGTTAAACCTCGTTAACTCGAATCTCGGTGTCTCAGAAAATTACTTAACTCGATGTTACTTTATGGTCCTGTGAGAATTAAACACACTCTTATAGAATAGCTTTACTCCGTTTGTTTCGAAATACTGACAACTCGAAATCGACATATCATTGAAGGTCACCAGGGCTTCGAGTTTACGAGGTTTAATTGTAGTAATAACCAGAACACAACAGTATATGAGTGAGTGAGTGAGTGAGTATGGTTTTACGCCGCTTTAGCAATATTCCAGCAATATCACGGTGGGGGACACCAGAAATGGGCTTTACACATTGTACCCATGTCGGGATTCGAACCCGGGTCTTCGGCTTGACGAGCGAACGCTTTAACCACTAGGCTACCCGACCGCCCCCAACAATTTATATTAAGAAGATATGACACATTATACAAAATATGCTTTTTTAACATAAGGCGTTTGCAATTGTTGCCGAATTTGATTTCTTTGTTGATATATTCATTTCATCATGCACAGAATATGTTTTTCTAATGCTATTGACTGTATTTTGGTCCCATGTCCTTTTTACTTAATTAACTCGAGCTCTGTTAATGTTTCAAATATATTGTTATAGCACCCATATTACAGTGACATTATCTGTTTCAGATGAGCGAGGGCGAGACTGACACCACCTGTCTAGACTCGCAGAGTGACGAGTATTTGGATATAGAGGACATTGATGATGGCGACGGCGACGTTGACGGTGACGTTGACGGTGACGTTGACGGTGACGACATCGACGACGAAGATCTGACCAACAAATCCGTTGGCGAAGCCGGTGGCAAATCTTCATCCTTCCCCCAACGCCGAATGCTGAGGACGCCAAAGTGTGCTCGTTGTCGTAATCACGGTGTCGTGTCGTGTCTGAAGGGGCACAAGCGTTACTGCAGATGGCGGGACTGCCAGTGCTCCAACTGCCTCCTGGTGGTGGAGCGACAACGAATAATGGCGGCACAAGTAGCTCTACGAAGGTGAGAGGAGCAAGAATAGTATGACTGAGGGTGGGGTTAAAGGGGGTGAGGCTGGGAACAAGAGGGGGGGTGGAGGGGGGGTGGGAGGGGGGGGGTGGGGGGTTGGGGGTGGTGGTGGTGGTTTCAAATCTAAAGCTTTAGGGCTATTCCTACGAGTATCTCTGTCACATGAAAAGAAACAAACGACCTGGAAGCAGGAAATTTGATATACCTTCACGAGAATCTGTTGATTCTAGTTTTCTAGTTTTCTAGATTCTAGAATCAACAAAAGCGAGTTATTTCTCCGACATCACCCACGTTATTGTTAATATATAATGTAGCTATAATTTTGAATAAATGACCTATAGTTGCGTCAGTTGTACTTGCACAAACTGCTCATTAACAATGGCTAGTGAATTCCTGGCTCGGAATCAAGTGCAACAACAATAGCGTGAGGTCACAGACTGAGTTAATGTTCCATAAATGATGACGCCTTGTTTCCGGGAAATGGATGGGCATGTTGTTGTTGTTGTTGTTGTTGTTGTTGTTGTTGTTATTATTATTATTATTATTATTATAATAATATAAAAAAGAAGGTTAACGTGGTGGGAAGTAAACTTTGGATAGTATAGTTAGAACATACGGTTGAGATATCAGTAGTGAGGTATACTTGAAAATTTGACATGTAATATGTTATGACGTCAGGACACTCTGACGTCATAATAATTCATTTTTATCGACACCTGTGAAGATCGGTGTTAAAATTGGTCTTCAGCTACCCATACGTGTCGTAAAGGGCGAATAACGGGATCGGGGGTGGGGGGTGGTGGTGGGGGTGGGGGTGGGGGGGGGGGGGGGTGGGGGGGTGGGGGGTGGACTCGCTGACTTGGTTGATGCATGTCATCGTATACCAATTGCGTAGATGTTCATGATGTCAATCATTGGACAGTCTGGTCCAGACTCGTTTCTTTACACACCGTCGTCATTCAGCTGAAATATTGTTGCGTGCGGTGTTAAACGAAAAAACCCATTTCAAACCGCCATATGGAATTCTAGTCTAGGGGCAATTAAATTGACTATAAGTTAATAGCATCACAAATACCTCAACTGGAAACAGCCCACTGATACAGTACATGCATTACTCAATCATTAGCAGTGGCAACGTCAAACTATGAACGAACAATCTAAATGATTAATACCAAGTGCATTTCACTAAAATATGTTAATATCACCTTGTCACGTCTGGCGTTATCATGTCAACAATAATTTATTTTCAAGGTTAATTATCTTATCAAATTAGCGAGCTTTCATAAACAAAAGTAGAATCACACAAACGCTTACCTCGCGCGACACGTGCAGTACGTGCTGACGTCCGATAGTGCGTGTAACGTTACCAATTAGCGATATGACATTTGCACTCTGTGCAGCCGTGGGCTAAACCTGAACCCAATATTATAAGAAACATAATTGTCAATGATAAAGCGTGTCTTAATAAACATATAAGCAAACAGCCTTTAACATTTATAGCTGCAGGAAATGATTAATCTGTTACGAGACTTTGAACTGATATATGGACCCTCACGCCGATGAACCCAACGCACGATATAGTGGCATCATTGATAATGTTAATTCCCCAGCCCAAATAAACGCTTATGGCACACATCCTAGCTTGTTAACAAGGGATGCATTTGTAAATGAAAATAACCCCAAGACAGGGTGAAACTATGCATGTTTACTGCACACAAAGTCGTAAAATAATCAAAATTGCCTCAGTCACACCCAATCAATCGTCAGTGTATATTGTTTCAATGTTTAGGCTAAACCTGTACAAGTTGACAATGTGTGTTCTTGCAAACTTACCATCGACAAAAAGAAATTAATCTTGCTGGTTGATTTACATAGGAGTGCAATTCCATGCCAACCACTCAAAGTGCATTCATTTAGACAAACGTCTTACTGAAATAAGTAATCATTTATTGACCCAAGAGAATATGATTCAGTCAGAGGTGTGATAGTTTTGGTTTCAAAACGATATTACTTCAGCCATATCACCACTTTGATAACATGAACTGGCTTCACATAATGTAGCCACTTTGGGAATTGAACACCTGGTTTTCTCCGCGACGAGCTAACGCATTACCCTGATTCCCCAATAACAAACCCAACAGATGGCGTCAGTAATTACTTGTTTGTCAATATTATTGTCTATATATTGAATTGTTATAGTAAGAATGTAAGAATAGATATTTGCCTCGTTTTAATTAATACATTTGTGAATATGTGGTTCAATAAACTTCATTTATTTTTTTAAGTATTTTACTTTCATCGATGTGCTTCGTCTGTGATGTTTACTATTATTATTTCCTGCCTATATTGACAGCGTTTGATGAATGTATTATTTGTTATATGGCTGATGTAAAAGCACAACTTATTCACGTTCTTGTATGTTTCCTACACACACCTTTACAGACATTACAGGGCGGTCGGGTAGCCTAGTGGTTAAAGCGTTCGCTCGTCACGCCGAAGACCCGGGTTCGATTCCCGACATGGGTACAATGTGTAAAGCCCATTTCTGGTGTCCCCCGCCGTGATATTGCTGGAATATTGCTAAAAGCGGCGTAGAGTATTACATGCCTTACGGAAAGTTCCAAAGGTCATTCTTTAAGTATTACTGGTCACATACTATGTGTGACTATTGCTATAGTACTACTAGTTATGCACGAAGTGTTACATATCATTCACAAAGTATTGCTAGTTATACACTGATAGTTACATGTCATTCGCAAAGTATTACAAGTTAGACACAAAGAATAACGTCATCTACAAAGTATTACTAGTTATATACAAAGTATAACATATTATACACAAAGTATTACTACATGAAGTGTTACAGTTATACATAAAGTGTTGTTGGTGATAGACAAAGTATTACAAGTTATACACAACGTGCTACACATCATTCACAAGACATTACAAGCTACACACAAAGTGTTTCACGTCAAGTGCTCCTCTACTGTTGCAGGCATCAGGCCACGGAGATGACGGGACAGATGAAGGCCAAGGTGAAGAGTGCCGCCTCTCTGCTGCAGCAGCGGAAACTCCTGCAGAGGAACCTCCGGAGTCTGCAGCAGCACTCCCTGTCCCGCGACATCCTCACCAGTAAGTACACCTACTGTATCTACATCATCTACAACTTCTACGTCGTCTACGCTATCTACATCGTCAACAACAAATACATTATCACAACATCATCAACATCTACATTATCTACAACATCTACAACATCTACATCTTCTCCAACATCATCATCTACAACAAATACTTTATCAAACAACATCTACATCATCATCATCCTCATCTACAACATCTACACCATCTCCAACAGCTACAACATCTTCATCATCAACATCTACATCATCTACAACATCATCGTCATCATCTGGAACATCTACATCATCTACATCAACTACAACATCTACATCATCTACAACAACTTCAACATCTGCAACATCTACATCATCTTCAACATCATCACCTGCAACAAATACTTTTTCAAACAATATCTACATCTTATACATCATCAACAACATCTACATCAACAACAACATCTACATCATCTACAACAAATACGTATACAGGGTAGTGGACGCATGCACATGCAGCACCGACAGCGATTGATTTTCTATATAATGTAATGATTCTCATGGTGCTCGCTGATATTCTTAGTCAGTCACACAGAAACACCAATCAGTTTGATATAGTCACAACGGTGATCTATCACGATTCTCTCTCTCCAGGTATATCATGAACGATTTTATAATGTAACTACATAAAGGTATTTGAATCACTTGACAGACTTTCGCTAGAATAGAAAACACAACGTTAGTTGTAAGATATTTGTTTGATTTATTCGAGAGTAAAAAGTGAAACGACTTTCCGAGGTTAATATTTTGTTGTTGAAACATTATATACTAGAAAACTCAAGGACATACTAGTATTAAGTATTATCACCCACTGCCGCTTAAGTATAAGGTCGATTTGACTGACTGTGTATGTATGACCCTGTCACTATCACAAGATTAAAAGAGTCACGTCTCCGACGATTTGGCAGTCCTCGCAAAATCTCTCAAATACCACTGTTGCTGTGTGTTTGTGCCTACTCTGCATCCTGAGATCTTTACACAGAGAGGCATCGTTTCGGAGTGAGAGATCTGATTTTAATTAGATTGATGGGTACCAGGCCGTTTGAACATGGTCCCATGTAAATCACAGCCACGTGGATTGATGGGTTTATCGATCACATTTGCTTGAACAATGAAAATGCGTTTGTTTAAGGTTGGGGTTAAAATCCTTTTTTTAATAAATGGACACAAAAGGAAAGCGTATTTGAATTTCTCCGACAGTGACTACCGTTGCATAAGAATACCAGTACAGAAGAATCTATAAAATAGCCGGGATGCTCGATTGGTGATAACAGGAACTTGCTGGCCCCATCAAAATGGAATGCCAACACAATCAATACCAAAACCATCGGTATAGAGAGTAATTCCCCAATTCATCAACTTTGTCAGACGTTTTTTGTGTGTTTTTTTGTGGTATCTGCAGTTTCCGTTGCTCACTGTACCATACATCATTGTGATGAAGCATCTAACATTGAATAATAGGTTACAGTTCCTTTCACAACATATTACAGTGTATTAGAAAACTCCATGGCAGATCACGACAGACACAGTGTAGATGTATACATTTCCATCAACACTCGCCGGTCGCTCGTTCCAAATATAATCCCTGCTGTACCGTACGTTACATCGAAGATAAAAACACATTTATTCAGTAAGCTACACCCAAAAAACAGGTTCACACTTGCACATCCTCTAACACCGGATACGTATTCCCTTCTCCGTGGTGTGATGGAAGCTAAGGAATTGTTGTCGTTGTTAGTTTTATTACAACCATCTGCCATTTGATCAGAGTTGTTGCATAGGGGGCGCTGCCTTTGGTGTAGTGCGCCCCCTAGCGAGTGATATAACCCATCTGTACCCACCCAACTGATTTGTTACTGTTCTTGTTCTTGTGTCGGGATTAAGGTTACTCAAAAAACACCTCGGAGAATTTCAAGGAGCGTAGTGATAATATGATGCTTATGTTGAGATTTACTTTATCTTCAATGTATATCTTTGGTTAGAGGGTGTTGTATACACGGTGTTTGAGTTCACTGTGTAAGGCGAGTCAGATCAGGGCACATCCCACGGTGGGGGCGGGATCACAAACACCCTTTCATCTTGTAAAACATGTAATCCCGTGTACAGTGGGAATGCAAGGAGGATAGGAATTAAAACTACAGGAATGTGTGACTGATAGAGGATTCAGAGTGGGTCTCTCGTATCTAGGATTATACGAGAAGGAAGATTATGTGGATGATAGTATGTTAACCTTTGACAAAACAACTCGACAATGGGGTTTAATAAGTAATTCGCAATATTAAAATTTGACGTCACAGGTTATGAAACAGGCTTAATTATTAATATTTGAAAACCTAGTGTCAAACTGGCTAAAGTGTGTGAAGCCGATTTCTGATTTCCCGCCCTGATATTGCTGGAATATTGATGAACACGGCATAAAATCAAACTCACTCACTTACAAAAAAATATAGAAAAGAACATGTGTGGGAAACATCTAGCAAGGTATCGTTGAAAACATTTAAACATTATTTTTATCGGACTGTGTGTGCATATGTTTCTTAAAATTCTACTGGACGTTTAAACTCCATAAACAAAGCTGTTAGCGGCTATATAATCCGTGCGTTTATGTGTCTAAGCATACTGGAGTGGATCCGATGGCGTGGTTTGAAAGACTTTAAGTGAAAGTCGAAAGCTATAAGGTAGTAGCATAATGACTCTCTATTTTAATCTAGAAGATTGTTAACCCTAAACATCTCACAGTAAACATAACAGGATCATAAAAGATGACACTATATGAATTTTCACTGATGTAATCTTCTGTTGCTAGGTTACCGTGCCCGACTACACGCACTTCCCCAACCGGAGTCCCTCCGTACCATGGTACCCTATATGAACGAGAGGATGAGGAAGAGGAGGTGCTTCGCTGACAAGGAGTTAGAGCTTGTCATGCTGGAAAGAGAGAGACAGGCAGAAATCGTAAAGAGTCGTGAAGCAGGGGAGACAACCCCCATCCGGAATATAGAGCTGTCCAAATCACGTCTTCTCGTAGGCAATATGACGCCACGAGAGTTTCTTCAGAGAATTTTCCCAACTCACAATCCCAATGTGCTGGAGTTGGTTTGGCAAGGCTGCGGTGGTGATCTTGAACGGGCAATAGAACAGTTGGCCTCTGGATTAAAATCAGAGGCTCTTGCTCCAGTTAGGCAGCATCAAGCTCTAGCGGCGAAAATGATGCCATATCAGTTTCCTGTGCCAATGATAGGATTAAAAGCTCCCCCTCCAGAACTAATTCCTAACGTCCATATGCAGAACTCTCTATGTGCAATGAACTTCCCACCATGGGCGCTTCAAATGAATATGGCGGCTGGTGTGTTCCCAGCATGCCCCACAGTACAGATGCACACGGCACAAAGTTCGGGCCGGAAGTCAGAGACGAACCACGTGGACATGAGGAAAGCTATAAGTACAGAAGATTTGATTGCTCGACGATCTGCCTTTCAGTCCCTACTCCCAACTCCGTCTCAGTCCTGTGTGTCCTCGGACTCTGTTTCCGTCCTCAGTGACAGTAGTTCCCCCAGTCCCCACAGTCCTCACAGTCCACATAGCCCACACAGTCCGGCCTCATCAAGTGACGAGGCGGGGGATGTGTACACGAAGATAGTGAAAGCGGCGCCTCTGAAATTCTCGGTGGAATCTATAATAGGAAAATGACGTGCTGAGGACCCCGTTGTCCTGCGGTTGTGATAAATGATGGTCTGCATGTTGGATAGATCTGAGAGACCACAACTTTTTGCCCAAGTGGATACTATATCCGACCAATGCAATTGTCCCTTATAACAACAATCCTACAATCAATAAGCTGAAAAGTAATGTTTTCTGGACGAATTCTAAGAGTTAGATTATTCTTCATCAAATATCAGAACAGATTGTTAATCCATTGCAGCTCGTGATTTCTTTATTTTTATTGCATGAATAAAACAATCCATTACAATTGTGTAACACATCCGTTAATCTGTCTCTATTGTCAAAACATCAGTACGGACATTTTTTGGAAGATATGAAAGACATCGACAGCACACAGCCATTTAGTGCCTCCCGTCGACATTTCAAAGCGTGTTTAGTGTACATATATGTTTCTGTTGTATATATCTTGCCTTGTGTACATGCGTCAGTTTTATCTTGCATAAAAAGTTACCTTGAACAGATTCGTCAATGTTCTCATTACCAGGACCAGTATCACTGTTCCAAAATTGGTATGATCATGGTAGTTTGATGTTGTAACATCACAGTTAAAGTCTTTCTGATCGTGTCATTGTCATGATCATACAAATGATTGAATACGATTACAATTATACATGCAATGGTCAATCAACCGTAAGAGTACAACAAAATATATGTTGGGAAAATACTTATATGTTAGATGCCTTATTTGGGTAGTTTGTGTGTTTTCTACAGCGCCATTTCCTCTAAACCTAAACAATATCTACATAAAACAAAACAATATAACAACAAACGTTATAGATTTGTGTTGTAATTTCGAGAGTTTATCATCACGAAAGAACAGTATAACAGCACCTGTCTTCAAAATGTATCTGAACGTTATCCTTAAGCTAATGTATCTAAGATTTACTATGATGTTTGCAATAACAAATTGTTTGGAAATAAAGGATCTTCATGTCTGATGCTGATTACTGAGAAGCAGACAGACAGGTATCATGTAACTGATTCGGAGACAAGCTGTTGAACAGCAGTCAAAAGATCGGAGAGACGCTATGGAGCTTGGCCTTTTCTAGAATGTCATAGAGAGTCCAGGATTTAATATTCACACCACATAGAACTGTGATAGAAGTCCGCATTTGAAATACGAAATGACATTTTGCCTACAAGTTAATGTATTACCCGTCGATGTTGGGAAATTATAGCTTGTCAACAAATATAACGGAGCTCCGTCAGCTCCCCGGGAATCACAGTGAATTAATCAATACCAATGACGCCGAGATGTTGCATGGAAGGGCTACACACAGACATGTACTAGTTATACGAAGCCTATACTTACCTTGGGGTTCCAGTTGGATAGGCTTTACGTGGGGATGTTCCAGTGTTTTAATCATAATAAAAGGGCTCTAAATGGATATGTTCCAGTTCTATAGAAAGGCTGTTCAAGCTGTATATAAAGGCTTTCCTAAGAGATATTCCAGTTGAATGGATGTTTTTTTTGTACGTAGATATGTTCCAGTTGAATCAAAGGGTTTGTGCGGAGATGGTCCAGTTGTGTGGAAGGGGTTTGTGCAGAGGTGATTCAATTGAATGGAAGGGCTCTGCTTATGTGTGTTCCCGTTATATGGATTGCCTATTCTTAGAGAAGTACCAGGTGTATGTAAGCTCTTTACTCAGAGAGGTTCCAATTGTTCGCAAGGGCTTAATGCAACGATGTTCCAGCTGTAAGGAAGGGCTCTTTGTAGAGAAGTTTCAGGTGAATGGAAGGGCAATTCGTAAATGTATTCTAGTCGAGTGGAAGGGCAATACGTAGGGATATTCTAGTTGAGTGGAAGGGCAATACGTAGGGATATTCTAGTTGAGTGGAAGGGCAATACGTAGGGATATTCTAGTTGAGTGGAAGGGCAATACGTGGGAATGTTCTAGTTGAGTGGAAGGGCAATACGTAGGGATATTCTAGTTGGGTGGAAGGGCACTACGTAGGGATATTCTAGTTGAGTGGAAGGGCAATACGTGGGAATGTTCTAGTTGAATGGAAGGGCAATTTGTAGAGATGTTCTAGTTGAGTGGAAGGGCAATAGGTAGAGAAGTTCTAGTTGAATAGAAGGCAATTCGTAGAGATGTTCTAGTTGAGTGGAAGGGCAATTTGTAGAGATGTTCTTGTTGAGTGGAAGGGCAATTCGTAGAGATGTTCTAGTTGAGTGGAAGGGCAATAGGTAGAGAAGTTCTAGTTGAGTGGAAGGGCAATAGGTAGAGAAGTTCTAGTTATATGGGAGGGCAATACGTCGAGGTGTTCTAGTTGTATTGAAGGGCAATACGTCGAGATGTTCTAGTTGCACGTGGAGGCTATATATTTTTGCAGTTGTTTTGGAGAGGCTTTATTTAGAGAAGTTCCAGCTTTAGACAAGGAAAGGCGTTTATGAGAGATTTTCCATTTGTATGGAAGGACCTTACCTAGGGAAGTTCTAGCTGTACTGGGGGGTTACGGGTCATGGTAGCGACAAGTATGATGGGTATCCATTAAGCGGCATTTAAGCACCTGTGTCTTTAGTTGTGCGAGTATCTAAATAATTGTCGATCGATTTCACTATTGCCTTTTAGAAGATGTTCTAATTCATTATTCCGTCACGATATCGTCACATGACAGACTAATAACGTCAGTGAACAGAGGTGTAATTTTCATTTTACTTCCCAATTACAAAAAGTTACATGAAACAATAAAGTTTTGTTCCAATAAATAAAAGAAGTAAAATCATTCATGTCACGAAACCCGTGGTCGTGGGTTTTACCGAAGTGGTAAACGTCTACATTACTTCGGGCTTTCCTCCCACATAAAGCTGACACGCAGTGATATAACTGGAATAATGTAAAAAGCGGGGTTTAACCTAACTCACTCACTCACTCTAAGTTTTACAGGACACTTTTGAAACGAAGGACCCATGGGCAATCAATACATGCTACGTCAGTCTGACATTGTGGGCGGAATTATACCTATCACTACAACTGCTAGAACATAGATTGAGTTGTCTGATGTTGAAACTGACAATCTATTGACATATTTGAACCAAAAGCTCCGGTGGCCTGTATATTAATATATCACTGTCAGGCCGGTGACTGGTACATTTAGCACGGCGTGAAATGAATGACTAAATCTTCTTTACGATATAATTTGATAGATATGAATTGCACTGTGGCAAAAATAGATATGATCTCACAACGATGAAAACCGTACCGTCCTTAAGAGTTGCACCACACGTGTGCCGTGGTGGAGATCGATACGTGTTCGCATCTCACCTGGTTCAGGATATACTCACCTCTAGCGAACACCTGGTGTCATCATTATTTGATAATGATAATTTAAACACATGCTCATGTCAAGTCGGAATCGTACTATAGGCGTCCTGATATGCTTTGGTAAAAGTTGACTTGCCTTTTCATGTGTTTGTGACGGGTTTCACCGCTGGGATTGGATAGCCTCATCCTTGGTAGTGATTCAAAAACACATGTATCGAACAATGGACTCTTTTAGTAGAGATTGCTTATTGAAGGTCTCAGTAAAGCTTTCAAAAGGTTTTACGGAGGACATTTCTAAATTTGACGCATCAGTGACAAAACTGATGTCCGATGCAATTATTATTTTGTCGCTTTTATTTGCATTGGTAGCTTCGTTTATAACATAAAACCTTTTTCAAGTTGATAACATAAATATCTGAGGAAATAATAAATGTATATTGAAGGATGCAGTACTTGGAGAAATTAAATGCCCATCTAAACGAATAAATAAAATGAACGGACGAACGAATGAAAGCCAAGGTAACTCGTTTAACTGTGATTGTGGAAGTCTAAACATATCTTAAAAAGGTATGTTTAGACTTAGACTTATGTTTATAATCCACACAAATATATATATTTTTGTGTGGTTTAGGAACCGTGTTCAGGTGAACATTTGACTTGCCTTCGCATGTTTTTGTGACGGGTGCTACCGGTGAACCAGGATACGCTTACATTTTCGCGAACACCAGGTATCATCACTATTTGATAGTGATTCACAAAGAAATGCTTGTGATAGAGTTGGAATTGTACAATGGATATTTCTTACGATTAATGGAAAAGTTTGGCGCCTTTATTTGCATCAGACGGGGAAATAAATAAGATGACCTAATGTCTCGACATTTCATGGCATCGCTACGTCACCTATCATAATCGAGTAATGTTGCAGCTGGAAAACGTCGAATAAAAGTTCATATACAGTAAACTACGGTTATAACGAACTCAAAGGGACTACTAGTTTTAGTTCGTTATAACTGTAGTTCGTTAAAACCATATACAGCATAACTACAGCAAATAGTCGGGACCAAAAAGTAAGTCCGTTATATTCGTCAGTTCGTTATAAGCGTGTTCGTTATAACCGTAGTTTACTGTATTTAATTCGAATATATTTTTGATTCCACTTCATCAAGAGATGCTTATGATTTTTTTGGCAGAGGCAGTTGAGGATTCAGCTCTAGCCTAAGTTATATAACGGATTTGGGAACTACATTTGTAGAAAAGGTTCTAATTCACGCCGAGATGTATAATGTCGGGGCCCAGCTCTTTGGTGAAGGTCAAAGAAACTGGAAAGTCAACGTTCAATGTCGAATCCTTTCCTATTTCAACTTCGGAGCGATTTTCAATTTCTCTTTGATGGACAGGAACTAATTTAAGTGAACAAACCAGATACACCGAAGCCCTTTCACGGTAACGGCGCCGATCTCACACTTTAGGAACATCGTACATGCTCCTTGCGAATTTGAAAAGACATTTCCGAAAGCAGATTGCCATGACGGGTAATCAAATATGATCAGCCTGACGCCAGGCCATCAAGGGGGACAATCTTATTGGATCCCCCATCTCCTCAATAAAAATCGATAATCACAAGCCCGGTTATCGTTGCACAGGTTGTGTGGTGGGTACTGCACGTGCATGGCATGAATAACACAATTTGGCACGTCCTCTCTTCATAATTCACACGTCAGAGAGAAAGATGATTTCCAATTTAAAACATCTTGTCATTTCCCCCGAGGAACGATCGATAAGGAGGTTCTTAACCAGGTTCCTCTCTCGGCAGTGCCATACAGAGCATCCAACGGCTTAGTCTACATGGACTATAGTATGTTATGGATTGAGTGCACAATCAGTCGCATACCATGATTATTGAAGAACATATGGAGTGAGCTTACTAACGCGTGTGCTTCGGAACGTCCTGGATGTAGAAAGCTGAAGGTATGTGTGCCCGGTATTATCTCGTTCACGTTCAGGTACGTTAATCTGACGCATCAGAGCCAAACATTATATGTGATGGAATTTCCTATTTTGACTTTCACCATATGTCCCCGTGTTTTTTTCAAGTGAACATTTGACTTGCCTTCGCATGTGTTTATGGTCGACGGGTGCAACTGGTGGGGGAAGACACGTTATGGGCAGTTGCACAAATTGGATGTAACATATATACTGCATATCAGAC